AGGGCGTACTCTTTGCGGGTGTTATAGATGTCTGCTTTCGGGAGACAAACGCTGTTTACCCGCCGATAGTGTGAGCCCTTCGGGGCCGTGAAGTCCAGCGCAGTGTTCAGTTCAATGAGTCCGATATCGTCGGCAATACCGCCACTACTTTCCGGGTATAGCATTATTCTCTTGACTCCCAGTCCCGGCCCGAGGTTTACCCGCGACATAGTATCCGGATATATGGTTACCGTTTCGTTTGTACAGTTTTCGCAACTAATGTATTATTTACGTTTAATACATTTTATATAACTTTGATATTAATAATATAATTCTTTCAAAAACTGTCACCAAGGTGATATATTGATATATACTTTAAATGTAATAATAATTTACTGGAAAGTCACTATTATCATTTTTAATCATGAGTGCAAAAATACACCCCCAATGAGTACTTACGGTAAACAATGTTTGGCAGTTATAATCCAGCGCTCGTTCAATATAGTGCCGCCGCATATATCTCTATATTTATTATTTAAATAAGTATTATTTTACATTTAATTTTCAGTAACAATCAAATGTCAGATGCATACGTGTAATTATAGCCAATAATTTGTACAAGAACAAACCAGGGCACATCACCAGATTTGGCCCGTCTGCCATTGAATATAGCATTCACTGTATTATCCATTTTATGATATGTAAAGCAGTTGTTGTCCATCAGTAGTGAATTCCTGGATATCCCGCACTCATCGGTAGTAATGTTGGGATAATAAGCCATTTCAACGTGTATTGCATTACATGGTATGCAATATATGCCAAATACTATAATTAATTAAAATTATATAAATATGTTTACTTTAAATAATTCTATACTTACTTATTAATAGAGTTGACATTAACATTGTATTGTAGATTAATTAAATATATTGTCACACAAATATTATTCACCTTGCTTAAACTATAATATTTATAGAAATGTGTGATTTTGTGATATTTAATGTTATAAACGCTTAAATTAAAATAATTTTTAAAACTTTTAAGTAAATTAATTTTAGACACACTTGTTAAATTACATGATATATAATATCTAAGGAAATGTACCTTATACTAAAACACAAGTCTGTTACATATTTATAGGGAAAACAATAAATTATATCAAACATGTATCAAATAATACCTTTATTAATTGATAAAATGGATTAAATTGCGGAATTTACCCTATTCAAATAATATATAAATTGTTTTCCTCTACATTGAGAAGATTCATCATATTTATTATAATCATATTAAATTAATTATTTGATTAATATAAAATTATATTCAAATTAGAAATGTAAAATAATATAATATATTATGATCATTACTATTTTTATTTAATCATTTTACTAGTTACCCTGAACGCATATAGTCTTCATATTTAACATGTTAAAATTTATTGATTACATTTGACAAAAATAAATTGATTTAAACCAAAATATAAAATACGAATTTTGAATTATATTTTATATTAACTTTATAATAATTATTATTTTTTAAATAAAATCAATAATTCAGTTCATGATCGCATATTAAACTTTTAAAATATATATCCTATTATTATATTATTATTATAATATAACCAGAATATCACGCATAATAATAATTAATTTTGAGTGATTTATCATTACATTTATAATTGTTTACTAAATCAGGCAAAAAATATTTTTAATCAAAATGAAATTAATTGATATTTACGTAAAACGTCTCGAAAATAAATATTTATTAAATAAAAAGCCGACAATTACTGAGAAAATAATATATTATTTATATTTAATAAATTGCTTGAAATTAATTATATCAATGAAATGCGATTACGAGACACAGAAACTGTTGTTTGATGTGTCTATATTTTTTGGTGGCATAACGGAATACACCCAGATGGTATTTATATTAGTTTTGCTATTCGGCACACTTGTATATAAATCTGTGTATTTAAATAAATACACACTTAAAACTCAAAGATTAAATATTTATATATAAATTTTGGATAAAATACTAAACATAATTAGTAAATGGAATTTTGGTTTATTAAATATATGATAATAAGATAAGTAAAATTATCTTATTTACTTACAGTGTATTTATTTTCAATATAGTACGTAATGAAAAATTTGTTTAATTATAAACAATTTACGAGTACTTTAATATAGTTTGTTGTCAATGTCAATAAAGAACTATAATCATAATAAATTATATTTTAGCAAACAAAAGCATTATGTTTACAAACAACATTATGGTTAATGCTAATCAATTGCCACTAATTTGTTCAACAATCCAATTAATCTTAGTTGATGTTCGCACATAATAGCTATAATCGTTTACATCGCAGAAATCTTGACTCGATTGAATAATCCCTATCAACACAGCCCTACCATTTTGCCACTGTATTACTCCACCGCCACTATCACCCTGGTTATACAACAAATCATAATTAGTCTCTCTCTCTCTCTCACTCATTCACTCACTCACTCACATATTTACACACTCACGCAGTTTACTTACTCTACACACCGACGCGCTATTAGATACTTGTCGTGCAATAATCATTTTACCATAATCATCAAAATGTTTATCCAGTTTTTTCCAAATCTTAATCCATCCCATTTGCAGCCAATCGGCCAAATGTTTTGTAATATTCATTGCACCGAAACCGGCGACTAAAGCGTACTCGTTATTAGTGTTATAAATGTCTGCTTTCGGGAGACAAACGCTGTTTACCCGCCGATAGTGTGAGCCCTTCGGGGCCGTGAAGTCCAGCGCAGTGTTCAGTTCAATGAGTGCCATATCGTCTGAATTGGTTTTATTTATCTCAAACCCCGGGTGCAATATAAATCTCTTGGGTTGATAACCATGGCCGGGATTTGTTAAGTTTAGAATAGCAGGGTAAATGGTTATGGTACAAGTAGCGCGGCAACTGAATTAATTTTAATTGTTTTGGTTTAATAAAATAATAATTTACAAACAAAATATAAATGACCCACATCAAACAGTGTGCAGCGGTTAATATCCACCTTTCGTTTAATATAGTGCCACCGCATCGCTCACTGGATTATAAAATGAATGATATTTAAATAGCATATAAAATATTATAATATTCTGGTTTAAATTGTAATACAAATGCTTTATATTAATATTAAGTATTAATAATTTTATTAACTAATATCTTGAAGTAGATTTGTTTATAAAAACGTGCCAGGGCAACTCTCCAACTGTGGCGCGCCTACCATTGAATATACGACTGACTGTATTATCTATTGTGTGATATTTAAAGCACTTGTTGTTCATCAGTAATGAATCCCTGGATATCCCGCACTCATCGGTAGTAATGTTGAGATAATTAGCCATTTCTGCGTGAAATGCATTACTTGTCACCCGATATATGCCAAACACTACTACTATTTTATTCATTGAATATACGCCACAAATAATATGTTTATTTACTTTTAAATATTAAATAATTAATTTAATGTTATATTTACCCATTAATTGTATGAAAGATAACATTTTGCTTTTATTATTATTTATTAATTTATATTGTATCAGAATCTGAATTGTTTGGCATACAATGTGCTAATTTATATATAATTATATTTGGTTATACAACTTTATTTATAACTCTTAAAACTAATGGTATAAAATACATATAAAACATTGCAATGTAAAACAATAGCTTATATACAGGTATAAGGAATCATATTAAATTCACCAAAACCTAAATATATTGAAAATATGAATATTTGTCTTTATTTTAAATTATATGAATGTTGCATGACAATATATTTACATTCATTAAAAATATTATTAATTTTGCATTCAGGAAATATTTAAAACTTGTGTAATTTATTATGAAATCTACAAACAATATTTCATTTTAATTACAGTTATAGTATAAATATAAAACTCAATAAGTTAATGATTAATTATATATTTAGCCGCAAATATATATAAATGCTACATAAATGTAAACGTATTATTATTTTAAACACAAATAAAGTTTAAAACTATAAATTATATTCATTAAATAAATGTCTAAAATTAAATTAAGCCGTATTTTTAAAATGAATTTAATAGCGATTTTTGTAAAACAATTAGAAAATATGTATCTATTAAATAAAAAGCCGATAATTTCTTATAAAATTATATATTATTTAAATTTAATAAATTGTTTAAAATTAATTACTTCAATGAATTGCAATTACGAGATACAGAAACTATTGTTTGATGTATCAATATTTTCCGGTGGCATAACTCAATTTAACCAGGTTATATTCATATTAGCTAATCTACAATTTGAGATTGTGTATAAATGTGCACAGGTAAATCAAAGTAAACATCTACCATTGTGGTTTGATGGCATCGGACTAATAACCTACAGACAAATACCGGAATTCTATACCATAATAAATGAGAGCATAAATAAAACCAAAACATTAACTAGACTAAAATATGTTCAACAATTATTTATAATATCAAGTTTATTAACATGTAAGTTATGTATTATAACAATAGTTTTGTATTTTATAACCAGATGTAATATACTAATAATCACCTAGGTTGGACTATCTCGATGTTCTACATAGACTTACTGATTGAAAATTATACGTTTTGGGAGTTTTGTGTTTCAATAATACCGGCAATAATTATATTTATTTTTACATATAGTTATATAATTCTCGGAAATAGTCTCTTATATGCATTGATTGTAAAAATTTATGCCACATTAAAAACTATGAACACAATTAACCATAAGTTAGACATTATATTTCAATCGCGAAATATCTTTATGGTTAAGAGAATTGATTTATTTATAAAAATCCGTGATTTTATTGTTAAACACAATATGTTTTGCAAAGAAATTCGTGATTTAAATCGGTTTTGGAGTCGAATAATATTTTACATTATTTTGTGTTTAATACCAATTAATATCATTTGTTTTCATCAAATACTCTTTGAATCGTTGCCAATGTTATTAATTATTATAGTAGCCATCGGTATATTTGCCACCAGTTTTACCATATTTGTTGTCCAGTTTTTTATGGCATACATATCATTGAAAACTCATTTATCGGCCAAACGTTTGGCACGTATTCAGTGGCGGATCAATGGCTGGCCGTTTCGGCTCTCATTTAAACTCAAATTAATGACATATTTTGAACGATTGGCCGCTAATCGCAAAATTGGTATCACTTGTGGACCGTTAGGCACAGTAACGATGACCACGTTTTATATGGTTTGTGTTCATTTATATTTACTTTAAATTAATGAATTTAATTATTTCGATTAAGGTGTTTGTGATGTATGTCCGGTATTTTCTATTAATCCATAAATTTTCGTATAAACTTAAAGATTAAACCCATAATCTGTGGATAAAAAATTTAATGTAATTCATAGTTGTTTTGTTCATTGAATATGCTATCAATATATGTTATATTTATTATTTTTCTACTTATATTTATTTTTATTTCAATATGGTAATAAAACATGTGTTTACTTATTAACAATTTAGTTATAATTTAATATAATTACTAATCACAATAAATTATATTTTAAAATAAAAGGATTAAAGTTATATTAATAGGTTACATAAATAAATAGAAAATTAAAATTGATTTAGTTATCAACCATGTACAATTCAAGTTATAATTTAAATTTAATTTTAATTTTCTATAAATGGTTAGAAAATTATAAATAAAACAAGATGTAAAATCTATTACTACCTTTAAAATTAACATTATGTTTAGAAACTAACAACAACATCGGTAATGCTAATCAATTGCCACTAATTTGTGCAACAATCCAATTAACCTTGGTCGATATTCGCACGTAATAGTCTTTGCCATTATCTTGACAGCGATCACCTGTACTCAGAATGCCTATCAATACAGCCCTACCATTTTGCCACTGTATTAATCCGCCCCCACTATCACCCTATTAATACAACAATCATAATTGATCATTAATCTTAATAATTTATATTGATACTAACCCTACATGACATAGCACTATGGTCAAATTGTTGAGTTATAACAAATTGACCCTTCACATCCATTTTATCAAAAGTTGGTCGTAATATTCTAACCCATCCCATTCGTAACCAATCAGTTTCATGGGTGGCATTCATATAACCGAATCCGGCCATCAGTGCGTACTCTTTGCGGGTGTTATAAATGTCTGCTTTCGGGAGACAAACGCTGTTTACCCGCCGATAGTGTGAGCCCTTCGGGGCCGTGAAGTCCAGCGCAGTGTTCAGTTCAATGAGTGCCATATCGTATGGACTCCTATATTTATAAAAGTCAAAACGTGGATGTATTATAAACCTCTTGGTGCTGTACTCGATCCCGGTGTTATTCTTGGCCAAAATTGACGGATAAATGGTTATGGTAATGTTGTAACACTTATCGCACCTTGTACCCAAATTAATGAATATTTAGTAAGTTTGTTTTTGTTTAAAACATATGCCTTACCAAACACAGTGTGCAACGGTTAATATCCACCATTTGTTTATTATAACGCCCCCGCACTCAACACTGGGTAAACGAGATATAATGTTTAACTAATATTTATATTGAATATAATTGTTTAAACAATTTAATTAACATTTATATTTACTTTATTTATTTACTTACATATAGTAATTGTAAACTTATAGTTATATCATACTTACTTGTCTTTATTTTCTATTGTTCGGTTTACAATTACGTGCCAGGGAAACTCTCCATCTGTGGCACGTCTACCATTGTATATAGTATTCATTGTATTATCCATTTTATGGTATTTAAAGCAGTTGTTGTCCATCAGTAGTGAATCCCTGGATATCCCGCACTCATCGGTAGTAATGTTGGGATAATTAGCCATTTCTGCGTGAAATGCATTACATGTCACCCGATATATGACAAACATTACCACTGCTTTGTACAATAAATTTAATAAATTGTTTTAAGGGAGAATAAATAATAGAATGGGTACTTACATAATAATATAATTAAATATATCATTATTAGATAATTATATAAATTATATTATAATATTATAAACTAAACTAAACTAGTTGTTTGATAAAGTGTTAACTATTATTACATGGTATCTATTATTACAGGTATTACGTTTAATAATATGGTGACTCTTATTTCATTTTGTGAAATAATAAGCAAACAGAATATAATATTACCAAATCAATACATGTATTAAAATTTAATGTTTAATAAATATAATAATTAAAACTTTGATAATAGATTAATGGCAAGATTTGTTTTTAAACATTTTAAGATACAATTGAAAATATTCACTGTTTACAAATAATAAGCAGCAAACGTCTACTTTTACTTTTTTATCTAGATATTATACAGTAAATTATTGGTGTTCAACCTTTTTTAGCATATCACAAGTACAGATTCACAGTTTGCCTTAAAAAGGTGGCGCATCGGTCAGTAAAAAAGTTTAGGTTTGTCAGTATTAAACGAGAACACCACGTGAAGGTCAACCTAATAGTTTCTCACCCATTTTTATAATGGTTGGCTTTCAGTCTATCCACAAAACGTCATTTAAAACAAAATTTAATTATTAAATACACATTTTAATGAGACATTTGATATTGTTTGCGATTATCAACAATTTTATTAACATTTAACTCAATCATATTTGATGACCATATTTTCACACGTGATCTTAATGTTGTTGCGCAAATACTACAAGTTTTGTCATTTTTAGTCAATTTAATTAGAGAAAAAAATTACAAAAAATCACAATTAAAAATAGAGCACAATTTATAAAAACCGTTACAAAATTTGCATTTTATAAATTTTATACCCTCTGTGTATAATATGTTCATTCATTAATATGATTACTAATTTTTAATCCAAACTTTAAAAAATAATTTTAATGTTGTTTATGACAATTGGCTTTTCTACTTCAAGTTCCCAAAAGGTACTTCGTTGAACACGAGTACAGTAAATGATGGGCCCTGTTTATCTAAGAATGATATTTCATTTATTTTAACAATAATAAAAATTAATAATTTAGTAATTAAATAATTAGCCTCACAATTTATAAACCAGTATAAATTTTGTGATACATAATGATCCGTTATTATTTATTTAATTATTTATTTATTTAGATAATCTCTCTCTCTCTCTCTCTCTCTCTCTCTCTCTCTTAATTTAATTAAGAAAAATTTTAAAAATACTAAATTAAACTAAAATTAATTATAAAAAATAATTAATTAAAATTATTTCATTAATAATTTATAATATTTACTCAGAACATATTTCACAATAACTTTAATTTAAATTTGAAACATTAAATAATCACAATTTAATTTAAATAATTACAACCCTCATTATTTATCATGCTATTTGACAACCAATTTAGTTCATCAGTAATAATAATGTATTTAATAGTGTGTTGTGTTTGCCATTCAAATAGTATTGATGTGAACACGAGTTCGGGTTCAGTGAGGGGTCAGACACTCCATGTCTTGAATCGCAAAATACACCAATTCTTGAATATACCCTACGCTGAGCCACCTTTAGGCCCACTCAGGTTCGCCCCTCCCGTACCTCTCAAAGCCCCCAAAAAGGTATTCATTGAAAACTATTGTATATTTTATATATAAATTAAATTTTTACAGATTTTAATAAACAGCACAAAACTTGGCAATCATTGTATTCAAGACACCATATATGTACCTAAATATCAAATAGATATGTCGAATAACATAGCAATTAGTGAAGACTGTCTGGTATTGAATATATGGACACCAAATGTGGCCAATAGTAGTGATACTGAAAGGAAATGGGGTCTCAAACCAGTTATGTTCTCGATATATAGCGGAGGATTTATTTTGGGGTCAATATTTAAAAACGTGTACAACGGCTCAGTGTTGGCCACCAATGATGTTGTTTTTGTGTCGGCTAACTATAGGGTCGGGCCGTTAGGCTTCCTATACAGCGGCGATAAGACAGCGTCGGGAAATGCGGGTCTTTATGACCAGTTATTGGCTCTCAAATGGGTATTAATTTAATGTTAAATTTTGAACAAATTATAATTGAATTAATAATAGGTTAGAGAAAACATACGCCACTTCGGCGGTGATAAGAATCAGATTACTATATTTGGTTACAGCTCTGGCAGTGTGTCGGTGTCGGCACACATACTCTCCCCGTTATCTAAGGGACTGTTTAAGAGGGCTATTATGCAGAGCGGGTCCGTTATGTACAACAGAGACCGACCGGTGCTGAGCGCTGTCGAAGCCCTGAAAGCGGCCAAACAGTTGGCCCAACGTTTAAATTGCGGTGAATTTGACAACAAATGGTTGGACTGTTTGCGTGCAATAGAGGACACGAACCACTTTATTGTATGGCCTAATGGTAGTCAACTCCTATGGCAACACCCGGTGTTTGGCACACATTTTTTACCATTTGTGCCCAAAAAAGCATTTAATACGCAATCATTTAATTTGGGTATATTTTAAAAATACAATGTACAACATTTTATGTTGCTAGATGCTTGTTATAAGTTTGTTTATTATTATTTGGTAGACATTGAAGTGATGACCGGCGTAACCAAAGACGAGGGCAATGCTCTGTCGTATTTACGAATACCGGAAATGAATGCAAAACTCACTGAACAACTGTTCCGGAAAGCGGTCACCGATTTGAGCGGCGAATATCATAACATAGATGTGGACAAAGTGTGCGATCATTATCTCAATGGTGTCCACACAACCAATTCATCGCAATTGAAGGCAGCGTTGAGTGCATTGTATGGCGATTTGGAGTTCACGTGCCCTACATATCACTTCGCCAAGAGTTTGGCCACAAGATGCCAGAGAATGGCCACAAATGTGTATTTTTATCGTTTTAATTTTCAAACCAAACTGACGTCCCTTCAGAGAAACTGTGCGGATGGACACGTATGTCACGCCGCGGAAGTTGATCTCGTTTATGGCCAACCATTAAGATATCCATCGCTTTACAGCAAAACTGAATATAACTTTAGTATAGATGTGATGAAAATATGGACCAATTTTGCAAAGACTGGGTATTTCTTAAGTGATTATAAATTCATATTTGACTTTATTTTAAACATTAATTGATAGCAAAGCACATGAAGTTTGGCCACAATTTTGGGACAAATCTGTGATTCGTGTGAAAGACTTGAATCCCAACGATATGTCACTTATTCTCGACAATCCATACGAGAGTACATGTGATGGCATTTGGAGTCAATATTTTTAGACATAACTTTTCACAGCATTTATTTTGCAATTATTTTTATTGAAAAACAATAAACATTTATTTTTAATTAATAATAAAATCTTAAATTTTTGTGAATTTTAATTTAAAATAAATAACAACTTTTGAATATAATATCATCGACAGTTTTGAAAAGCGAGTTATTTTTAATTTATAATTGCTTTAGTGTTTAAATTAGTAATGAGTTGGGCTAGAAATGATATTTTAAATGTATTATATTGCAGTGTAACGTCATTTATGTGTTTTATTAAAAAGCAAACACAATACTCTGTAAAGGCATTGCAATTATACTTTAATATATATATTTTTACTAAAGTTTCACTTTTGTTCTAATGAGTGAAAATAGTTTAATTATTTGATGCATAAATTATCAATAAATTAGAGTAAAACACATTATAAATTATATCATTATTTAATTAATTAATTATAAAAATAAATTATATATAAATTATAAAATAAATATAAGTATTTGAATAATTAAAAAAATTTCCCCAAATAATTTTAACGATATTTTTGACACTTTTTATTAAGCATTTCGTAAACTAAGTGAAATAATTATTAATAAAAAACACGTGTTTTTTGTTAATAAAATCGTTTTGTTTAAAATTAATTTCAGAGATAATTATCAATTGAAGAGATGCCGAGAATCGCTGTCAACAGATTCGGTGGCCAATGGTTGGCCAACGAGGTGTCGTGTGGTCTATGTATATCTATGGAAGTACGAGTTGAATAAACAAGCGCCAATTCGTGATAAATATTATTGAAAGGGCCCAACAATTGGCCCGAAAGAACACCGCAACTAAGATCCTCTTTTTTCAAATGAGCGGAATCACTGTTCGACGGGTTCAGAAAACTTTTGATTTAAATTTACTCGGAAACCGTTGAATTCAATCTCATTGTTGGCATCAATTTAGGCACAATTTTTAAGAACCAAAAGTTTCACAAACTGATGGTCTCGTTGGCCCAACAGCTCACCAGCCATAAGAACCTCTGTGTTAACACACAAACCATCGATGACTTGTATCAGATCGCGAAATGTGCCGGCAATTAAGATTTGTTAACGACATGTGCAAAATTAATGGACAAGAATCCATACGATGTGTACAGCAATTCCGTTAAGCGAGACGTCCAGAGCTATGACATGAATAATGCTTCACTATTTGTTAGACAAAAATCGGTTCAATTATTACATTCACTTTTATATTTCCAAAATCTGCTTCACTGTCGCCGTGTCAATGATCGGATCAAGTGGACAGTTTTGTTGAACAACAACAAGATTTGTTCATAGCCTCATATCTTATTTTAATAAAATTTAACAAATAATAACATCCAATAATTTAATAAATTTTAATTCATATAAATTATCTGAACTTAAAATGAAATTTTACTCCGTTTTAATTGTTAAACAATTGAAGCAATCAATGAGTTTGTTGTTATGTTAAGCTCCGGTAGATCATTGACTAAATTATTAATATTTAATACACAAAAGTTGTCACTATTTATGCTAAACACTCATTTAATTTCACCAAATGTTTGTTAACCAATGGTTTCGTTGTTTACACAAAGATTAAACAATGTTTCCCATCGAAAGTCTGATTCATAGACTTATAGTTGATAATTATTGGAAAATCCCTCACACATTGGAAACATTATTTGGGTATAAATATTATCGAAACTATTAAACAAATTATAGGTTGGGGTTAAGAGAGTGTGAGTCAGAGTTGAGTGAGTGTTTGAAATCAAACTGTGTTTTCTTTGTTTATAAATTTCGACAAAAATTTTGATAAGGAGATGATTATGTGGGTTCGACAGAAGTCGGACAACGTCTGCTCGACGGTGACCGCAATAATATGCCGTCGAGTGCGTCGTCCAAACGTCGTCGCGTTGACGACCGCTCCTCGAAGACCATTACCGCCAATCGCCAGAAGTTGACGAAAATGTCAAACAAGTCATACAATTTGCGGAAAAGTGTCGGCAACACTGAATCCAAAACTGGACCGATACTTGTCTCTAGCCGTGAGTCGGAACACAATTGACGACTTGCCCGCCGATTGTCTGCTCGATATCTTTGAAAAGTTGGATACTATTCAAAACAAGTGCGCTATTCAGAGAGGTATGTGTTTTACAATCAATCCTTTGTTTACTTTTTTTCATAAGATAATCTTTGCGCTTGATTTTGTCTTTTTAGCACCGGATCCATTAGTGAATAAGAGGTTTTAATTTTTGGTAAATCGTTTACTAAAGACTCAGAAGACGTTTACGGTTAGTTCCACTTTTGGCGACAACAGTATGTTTTTGATTGTTTTAATTATTTTTGTTATTCAGATATTGAGTCCATTGATTTGATGAATCAGATGAATCAATGCACATTTTGTGTTAGGGGTGTGTTTGTCAGAGTTGAGTCAGTGTTTGAAACGGTATTGTGTTTTCTTTGTTTATAAATTTCGGCAAAATTTAAATTTTGTTTTTAATTTTAAATGTTTTTCAATTATGTAATTGAATTTTTAATTTATTTGTGGTTTGATTTCCGAAAATGAACACAATTTACACCCAAATTATGTCCACATTTTTAATGCGATATCTTTATCCAAACATTTACATCAAATACCGTTAATGAGTGTGAGTCAGAGTTCAATCAATGCTTAAAATCAAATGGGTTTATGTTTTAATTGATTTGTGTTTAACTGAATTGAAATCGGATTTAGAGCTAAAATTACAAAGAGTTAACTCTAAATTGAATTGATATAAGAATTGTGTTGAAATGATTGATGAGAATCGAGTGAACAAAGTGTGGACACAATTGACAAGTCGACGGCCACCGAAGACAACGACAGCCAAACGTTGGCTCAAGCGATAGAAGACTTGGATTTCAATGAAATAACAACTAAATTAATTCAAATTAAAAATCAATTGAAAATAATCTAAGGTTTTCGTCAAAAATTAAACAAAATGCAATGTATTTTGAATACAAATTATAGTATTTTGAATGTAACGATTGATTGTGAGAATGATGTGAATTTAGATATCAATCAAACAATTGATTGCAATTCATTGAAAATTAGTTAGAAATCAGTCGATAATCGAATAAAACTCGACAGCAAATACTTTCATTGTTATTGGCCTAATTGTAATGAGAAAACACTCACTCAACATCGTTTAACACCACACCAATTAATTCATTCGGGAGAACAATTATTTGTTTGTGATTTCAATGATTGTAACAAAAATTATAAACAAAATCACAAAAATGCCGTCCATTTAAAGATTAGACACGTTTGTGACACATGTCATAAAGTGTATAAACACAAACATGATTTGTTGCGTCATCAATATTATGAGTAAGAAAGAAAGAGAGTGTGAGTCAGAGTTGAGTGAGTGTTTGAAATCAAACTGTGTTTTCTTTGTTTATAAATTTCGACAAAAATTTTGATAAGGAGATGATTATGTGGTAGAGAGAGAGAGAGAGAGAGAGAGGGATGAATCACCAAAATCGATGGAAATTTAGACACTTTTTAAAATGAAATAAAACAATAGACACAACACTCGTATGCCATTTAAAGGGTTTCCATTGCTAGTCTTTCAATAGATTTGCTCTTAATGTATACTGTAATTAACATTTAATCCATTAATAAAGATTATAGATATATTTGTATTTGATTAACAAATAAATATAAAAAATTCAGAAAATTAATTTTACAACATTTTTGTTTATTTGTAAAAAAAATTGATTGATTTAACAAATATACTCAAATGTTTTATAAACAGATAAGAACTGAGATGTTTATACAAAAGAATTTAATTCAAATTCAATTTTGGCAAAATAAATGAAGATTGATTATCACTTTTACCACTCGGGCATTGAGACCAGATGTCGACCAAAAGATCGCTCGCTAAGGAGTTTAAGTCTGTGGATAGCGGACCCAAGAAGTCCGGTAAATTCACAAAAGAATTTTTAAAAGTCGATTACATCTTTCATGATGACTACGCAAACCATCAACAGATGCTGACGAATACTTCTCTCGACAACGGAAACACTGACAGCAAGTTCGTTTTCACTAACCAAGATATTAGTCCACATATTGAAAGACTAGTTTTAACTTGTGAGGACTTGATCGTAACAAGGGACCAACAATTAACCCAAAACAACAACGCAAAGAATGCAACGATCTTTGTATTGACCACTGTTGACGCAAAAAACTTCTCATTTACATTTTCTTGGGAACAGTTGAATGCGATCTCACGGTTGGCATCAATTTGATTACCACAGTGAATAAATTACAGCTTCATCAATTGGTGGTCTCTTTAGCCTACCAGCTCAATGGCTATAAGAAAACACGTATTTAAGACCAAATAACGAGCAGATAAAATTGTTATCAAAATGTCGGCGTCAGTCGGAAAACTGGCAAGTGCTGACAGTACCAGGTTAAAAATGTAAAGAAAACACGACCCGCATTTAGATAGAGAACCACTGTGTTCGTAGGTTAGTTACGTCGCAAAGTCCCCAAAAAGTAACGGCCACTGCGAAAAACCAACGATGCCGTGTCACAAATGACTTAAACCACTCATCGCTTAGTACAAAAACTATTTTAGGACTTGGCGTCTAAGTGTATCAATTGTGTCACTTGTTTTTTGTAATTAAAATATAAAACACTTTTTATACAAAACTTTTATTAAAATGTTGATCACGATATCAGAAATTTTAATTTTATATTTTTAAATGTTAATAAAGTTAAAAACAATTATGCATTTATTGAAAACATTATCCAATATATTATTAAAATTTAGTAAATTTGTAAATACTGAAAATACAAATGTGTGGAAATTTTAATTATAAAAATTAACATTTATTCAAACAATGTTCTAGAGATAAGAATTTTTAATAAAAGTCAAGACATTTTCTCCACAAATGAGTCTCCGATTAATTAATAATTTAATATTGGTTTATACTAATTTATATAAATAAAATTATCGTTTATTACTCGTTGTCCGTCTCTTCATTGATTGGAATCGCATTCGCCTTTGCTTTCTTGTCCTTTTGTCTCTGTGAATTTCGCGGCACTACCTTTGGGGCAATCATTTCCGCCATTAGACAAATAACAGCCGTTCAGTAGTGCCGGCGGCGGGCTATCAATAGGAGTGGAATTTTTTGTTTGCTTTGACGAGCGATGCGTTCTGTTGTGCGATTATTTGCTGCAATTATTGCACTTTCTCGGAGTTGCGACGAATCGTGTCGTTCAACTTCTTGCGCGCGTCCCGTATCTCTAAACTGTGTTTTGTTTTCAATACTTTTATCTATAGTACGGCATAAAACACATGTCATTCAAAACGGTTGACAAAACCCTTCCCATTCCCGACCAAAAGTCATTACATTTTTGTCTTTGTTGAGCAAATCCCTGTCTTTGTTCTTTAACCTGGTCTCTGAAGTGCGTTACCGTTACCATTGTGTCGGCACTGTTCGGATCCATTGACGTGTCATTGATGGACGTCGAAGCGGTTGTCGTTGTGCCAACGTTGTTGGTGGCCGTCGAGCCAGTCTTCCCGTTTCGTCCCAGTTTTGTTAAGTCGATTCGCGGCTCTTTGGAGCCGTCACACAACATATCGCACGACTTGAGTGTTGTGCCCTTGTATTCGGTGATCACGCGTTTAATGATAGCCCTCTGGCCGATAGCGATGTCCGTCAACTGTTGTAAGTCTTTGTCATAATCCATGGCTATGAGGCTGTCGTCGGTGTCGAAGCCATGTTTGGCCAACATCTCAAGAGTGACTGGCGTTAGGCTCGATGTCGCCCTTAACACTGACAATAGGTATTTGGACATTGGCTACAAAAATCGATGGCCGAAGCAATTGGTTAGTATTAATTAGTCTTTGATTGTGTGGACCAGTTATTGACTGATCTAATGGCTTACCATTCAAGCGACTGATTGTCTTGTTTTTGGTGATAATTACTGCAGAAACGGATGACAACAGACTTTGAGTTAAGATAAAATCAAATGACAATTGAATTGCATAACAAAACGAGTGAATGATTTGACAATAAAGACTGAGAGCCAA